CATCGACATGCGTAAGCAAAAAAACATATTAACCACATGTTAAAAAAATTAAGGCATGAAATTAAATAAAAAAATGATATTATTATTTAATTGTTAATACTTACTACAATTTATTAAATTAAAATTTTCCTGAGGCCGTGAACTCATACGAATTGTTTCTGCTCGCACCTTTCCGCTATGCGTTGTCTGCGGCGCAGTCTGCGCATTTTGTTATGTGCTCTGCGCCGCAGTCTGCGCATTTTGTTATGTGCTCTGCGCCGCAGTCTGCTTTGCGTGTTATTATCATTGGTTATATTAATAGCAAATTAGAAATAATTATTAGCGTTACAATTATTTCAAATGACTTGCCTATATTTTAAAATAGAAACCTTTTAAAAGATGTTGAAGAACGGTAAATGTCTAAAAACAGACCAAATTTTAAAATTTGCCTGTTCATAAAAAGCTATGTATACGTATATTATCTATTATATTATAAAAAATTGGTAAATGCAAAAAATGATACCCTAAAAATTTTTTTGTGTTTGCCCAAAATAGATTTTGGGCGTGACACCAGAAAAATTTTTCCCGTATAAGGACTCCTACCAGATTATTGATACGGGGCCCCCTCGAGGCTAGCTACGCCACTGATGCCATCCCTAACTGTGAGTGTGGAAATATGAAAACATAACACTCTTGTAACACACGGTAGTGTGCCCACAATACTAATGAATATTGATAAAAAAATTATAAATATAATAAATACTAATATCTTGAAACAAACAAAATTAATTTAAAATCTCATATACTCACTTTCAGATCCAACTTAAAATAAAAACTCATATGCCGGGAGCATTTTTCCGTCTCCTACACTGAAAAAAATGTATGTAATTTTATTGTAAAACTATCTGGTTTTTCAAGGTATTTTTATCATGAAATACATGTAAAAATAAAATTACAAGGAATTTCTGTTATTTTTACAAAAACTTAACATTTTTACTATATCATTGTAAAAATATTTATTAGTTTTACTTTTTGTTTGTGAAATTGCATTGTTTTTGTATTATTTTAATCCTTTTTCAATTTTACAAGTTAATTGTAAAAAAATAACCAATGAAATAAAGCAAAATACTCACGTGACAGAAACGTACAATATTTTTGTAATTTTACAAACTAATTGTAAAGTTCGACCAATCAAATAAGCTAAATATATCACGTGACGCTCCCGAAAACTATGCATGCATCGAATCAATGCCTTTTTGGTTAGAACGTGTCCCTTCTTAAAGCGTATGCCGTTTTGTTCCTTTTTATTGTGGTAAGTATAATTTACAAATGTAATATATTTGTCAGTTAACATTTAAAGCAATTATTCGATATAATAATCATTTAAAATATCATATATTTAATTATAAATCGCATTTTAAACGCTTGAGAAAAGATTGTTTTTACTCAATGGTTTAAGGGAATTTTTAACTTATAAAAATTATATGTACACAATCACATTGCAGTGATGTTGAATATTCTCAAAGCGTTAAATGCTTTTTAGCGATATTTTTTTAAATAAATATAGTTAAGTTTAATTTTTTAAATTAAGTAAAAAAAACTTATCATAGTACATAGGTGCTCACCTATCTAAATAAATATTCTATTTTAGATTTCATACGAAGAATCTGATGTCACAGACTCGTTGTATTGTAAAGATAGGTAAGTGTGAATATATTAACATTTTTTTTATAAAACTTCTTTACATATTTTTCTGTTTCAGCTAAAGAACTTTATATTTATATTGAAAAAAAAGATTGCTTCAATGTGCAAGTTTTTTTTTAAGCTTTTCAGTTAATGTTTGGACCATTGAGTAAAGAACATCTTACTCAATGGTTTGGACTATATTTTAAAATACCCAACTGAAGGTTCTTGTGTTTTGAAATTTATCAAAAGATATTACTTAAAATTACATTCTGACAATTGTACAAGTGGAAAATGAAAAAAAAATTAAAACATAAAATGTATTAACTTAAATGAATAAATTAAAAAAAATTGAAATGGTAAATTTATTAAATAGTGAATTTTGTTTGTTTCACCCTTAAGGTGTTTTTCTTTTAATGAGCTCTTTTTAAATTTACTATTTTTAATTTTTTTGATACGTTGCCATTTTATTTAAACAACTATTTTATTTTAACTTTAGAAGTATGTATTTTTATATGTCATATTTTCCTTGAAGTTGTGTTAATTTTGGTCTGTGCTTAATTTTTATTATTGTGTTAGATACATACAAAAATAAAAATAATAAAAAAATAAAAGCAGACCAAAATTAAGAAGAGTTGTAAAAAGTTTTAAATAAACAATTAATTAGCATATTGCTTTATTATCAATCATACAATAGGCGAAAAAACCCTTAATTCCATATTTGTAATTTTACAATTTGTGATTTACATCAAATTTGTAAATTTTTTAAAAGTACTATTTTATTGTAATATTACAATTTTTAATTTTACAACAAAATTGTAAAAAAATATTTATTACAATATTATTGTAATTTTACAATTTTGAATTTTACAACAATATTGTAATAATTTTAAATTACAAACTTGATGCAATTTTACAAGGAAAATAATGGGTATAAAATAACCCATTATTTTCTATGTGATTTTACAACAAATTTTTTTCAGTGTATAGGGCTAGCGCAACCGAGTGCGCTAATCGTGTAGGATACGGAAGCGAGACCTGCATCTCCGTTCCCTAAGTGGTTAACGCACCGCATACGAATAAGCACTCTGCAATGAGCTTTCTAGGTGATCTTTCTTTGTATGTACATATAAAATAATAATAATAATAATAACCAAACAAACAGATTGACGTATGTCTTAAAGGCGCGAATCATTGTATGCACGTTATAGCGCGATAATACACTAGAGGCTAAATGTAGCAAAGTATTCCTCAAGGTTATGACGAATAGCTGTCATCTTGGTTATGCAGGTACACTACATTGTGCCATACCAAACCAACCCAAACTTAACAACCCAACCCAACCGACCCCGCCCCATTGGGCCCCTCCCGCCCCATTGCGCAATAGAGGTATAATATATCTAAGGGCAGGCTGGATTGTGACAATGGGGCGGGGTCGGTTGGGTTGGGTTGTTAAGTTTGGGTTAGTTTGGTATGGAACAATGCAGTGTACCTGCATAACCAAAATGACAGGTAATCGTCATAACCTTGAGGAATACTTTGCTACATTTAGCCTCTAGTGATAATACCTAATTACAGGCGGTGCGTTAACCACTTAGGGAACGGAGATACAGGTCTCGCTTCCGTATCCTACATGATTAGCGCACTCGGTTGCGCTAGCCCTATAGGAGACGGAAAAATGCGTCCCGGGAACCTTTCTGAGGTAGCATATTTGCATCCAAGCCGCTTGTCTGCTACCTCCAAGCATGAAGAGTATATCCTTTGTTGTGTTTGATCCTTACCAACTTTGTTACTAATAAAAATAAAAATAAACTAACAGTATTTTTTTATGGTTGTAGGTACTGCCTATTTATTTTCTTATACCAACCTTGTTGCTATAGTAGGGACTAAACAAAACAAAGGATGTGCACAATTCTAGAAGTCAAGGGACAAGAACCCCTGAATACGCAAGTATCAAACAATTAATCAATAAATTTTTGATTGGTCCAAACGGGGTTTTTATACGGAAGCCTACAATTGATTGAAGCACAAAAAGACACTTTTCAGCCGAATAGCATAAAACCGTTTTGTAAAGAAGTACTTATTAACCAATGATAAAACAATTTTATTTTGTTAAACAATACATAAAACGTACTTACAATTGAATCTGTGAGATTAAAAACAGTACAAGTCCAAAAGTCAAAATTTTGACAAAATATTTCAAAAAATCAGTTTTATAGTTTTAAATGTATTTTTGCGGAAATATTTAAACTATTTTATAAAATATAATGTTCAAATTCTGTAAAATATATCTTCTCACAAACATGTATTTTGAACTTCAAAATTGATTTATAACAATCATTAAAAGAATACAGTGAGGTTAGATAGCTTCAGAAATGTCAGCAGATCCAATATTTTTATTGGTCCTTACTTCACCTGATTGGCCTAAATCATTTTACAGACTAGATAATCGAATACTTTGGTAGTAAGCGTTGACAATAATAATTATTAGCTTTGAAGCTTAAATTATAAAACGCTTAGATATAATACATTTTTTTTCAACAAATATCAGTCACAGTGAGTTTCAGTATGTTGCAGGTCAAACAAGAATGACGCAAAAAACATTTTCAAATTTAGAGTGAAAAAAAAAGTGAAAAACTGTTGAAATTGAAATCGTACCTGATTCTTTACAATTTTGATAATAAACAAATAGTATGTTATTAGACTCTATAACATTTTTACAATTTTTAAATGCACAAAATAACAGATATTCAGGCCAATTAACTAACTAGCATGAGTGGTTATCGTTATATTTAATCGGCCTGATTGGTCGGATTGGCCGATAATCACTGATTCTAGTGGCTAACGTTAACGACTCATGTTAGTGAATTTGCCTGATTATGTATAAATTAGAAATATTGTTTATTATCAAATACCTACCCAGGTTTCACCTTATGTGATTAAATTATAATTTAAAAAAGCATTGACGAAAACTCTGTAACCGCCTTTAAAAGAGAAACTGCGTATTAAGGATCCTTAATGGAATTTACCAAATGAGTCTACGCAGGGCCGGATTTAAGCATGTGGGGGCCTGTGGGCAAAGTTATTGTGGGGGCTCCTACCCCATAATTTTTTTGTTAAATAAAATTTTGGAGGCCCCTCCCCCATAATTCTTTTTGTTAAATAAAATGAACTTTTAACATTTATAAAAAAAGGTAAACCTAAACAAACATAATAGCATTGACTAAGGAACTTCTTGACTTAACGATAATAGTTTTTACCTCATATATACATATATATAGGTTAGAACTATTCAGGATTAAAACAAAATTTGTTAATTTAATTTTTAACTACATTACCCAGCAAACAATGTTACGTAACGACAACGTTAAAATCAACCAAACTTTGTTAACCAGTAACGTAACATTAGAGGTTGAAATTACACATAATCTTATACCTGATATTACATATAAAATGTCCGGCGCATGTTACCAAAGTAGCAGTTATATGTAAGGTACAATTTTAAGAACATTATAAGATGGGCCTCCAAGTTACATGGAAGTTAATTTTCTAACTAAATATTTTACGTGATTTCTGTTACTTGCCTGTAATTTACTTTTGTTAGCTTTGTGCGACAGGTATTTTTAAGTAACTTACAAGTTATGCGATAAACCAAAAATTTATTCTCTTTTTTAAAAAATTATAAATAATAATAAAATAAACAAAATTAACTATTCTTCTAAAAACAAAAAAAAAATTTAGCTCTTATAATTAGGTATTTATTTATTTTCTTTTTTTTCATTTCTGTCCCTTCTTTGTTTAGCAAATTTGAGCCAGTCGCTAGCGTATGTTCTTATCGTGCTTTCCTGAATGTTCATCGATTTTATGTAGTCTACAAAAACACGTATAAGTAGAAAAATAAATAGAAAATCATTATCAAATATACCTGTTACTATTTTCATTATGTTTGTTCCTGCTAACTTAATATGATTCCTATATCCTAGCCAGGAAAGTTTTTCGGCAAAGCTGTTATCAAAAATTCTTTGTAATATGTTGGTAATTATTTGTTTTTCATTGTTTCCCCCGATAAGCTTAACATATAAAGACTAAAAACAAAAAAGTTTGATTAAATGTTAATAGGTAAGGAAACAAATTACTTACAAAATTTTCCTTATTTTTCGAGTTCTCAAGATACTCGTTAAATTGATTATATTCAGCTTCAGTCTTTATTGGCAATGTGTCATCAAAGTATTCAAATATTTTGGATTTAGTATTATTATTTATATTTAGTTTGTCCAATTTTTCCTTTATTCCTTTCACAATGAAGAAAATTTTTATATTGTATCGTAATATATTCTCTGAAAAAGTGCAATGACATTTATAATTAGCTCCAAAAGCAAAGTGCATACCAAAGAACTTATGATTAAGCCACTTATTGAATATTTTAGTTGTCACTAAAACCTTTCATATCTCAATTTAATTAAATAAAACAGAACATAGTACAAAATTACATTATTAAAACATTTCTACAGAAATTTATAATAGATCTTACCTAGCAAGGTTTCATTAGAGAGATTCAATGTGTTAGGGTCTGAAATTAAAAAGCTTACGTAAAAAAAGAAACAATAGTTAGGTTTGAATGTAACGTTTACCATTTTGATTTTGTAAATTATTAATAAATTCATCGACTTCGCTTTGGCCTTCAAGACTTTCCGAGGTTTCAGACACAACTAAAAAATAATGTCAGTTAAACTTTAATACTAACGTCTCCCAGGAATGTTTGTAAGTACTACCATACTCATTAATTTCAATGTTCGCCGTAGCAGCACATGAATTTTCAGCGTTGGCTATAGCAGCCCCTGGATTGGTATCGTCTGATGGTTCTTCCCTCTCAAAACTAGCTGTCAAAATAACGATATTAAGTAGATAATATGCATTCACTGAAAATATAAATAGTTTACCTATTGTGGCTTCTGATTCGTTGTTTTCTTCAAAAATAATAGGCATATCTTCTATACTCATTCTACCTTCATTATATTCTAAAATATTTTTATAAACTAAGTATCGGTTTTTATATCCAATAAATCGTACCTGTTGTTAATTGTTTTTTCTTTTCGATGTTTTGTTTTAATGGTTTACCTGGAGATAATTAATTAAGTAATTATGTAGGCGGATTTGATTAAAGCTTTGATTACGTACCTTTCCCAATGACGGTCCTTGCTTCAAAAAGGGGTGGCGGAGAAAATTCATCTAAAACAAAAAGTTCTGATAAGTTAAATTAACTATAAATAAAAGGTAATACCTGATGTTAAACCAGCTTCTGATGAAGAGCTAGAATACTGCTTATTTTTTACAGGGGACCTACAACCTCTTCCAAGTGCTTCATCTCCAGTAGTGTAGTCAGAATTTTCGGCTTTTCTTCTAGCTTTTTCTAGGCTATCTGCAAGTTAACATGATTTAATAAACACGAACACTACTACCTAAATTTTCGCACTTACCACAATAACACTCAACTCTAACTTCATGACAAGACCAGTTTTTCTCAGGCAGTTTACCACTTTTCATAAGAAAGTAACAATTTTTGCCATCTGGCCAAAAACATTTTTTGTGATCCGGTGTTAACCAACTTGTTGGTATCTCCGACACTGTTCCATCTGCGAATATTACCACAGCAAAAGCCATGAATTCGATAACTAAAAAAGACTTCAGATGAAAATTTATCCGTCACTGTTTAAATACATTTTGCATGGTAAACCATAACGAAACAGACCTTAAAATTAATGTAGGAGTTCTATCATTACGCATGCTTTCGTGGACAAATCCAATCTAAAGCATTTGCGAGAAACACTGTCAGCTGGAATTTCTATTTCACCAGCCCAACCCTCGTTGTTTAACACAAAAATGCCAACCACCTTGGAATCGCAAGGTTTTTCAAAAAATGAAGCTAGATTAGCTTTAGGGTATACAGTAGCTGTTAAAAATGGGCTATTACGTATTAGATTGATATCTGATATAGTTATAATGTCACCAGTATTTAAAACACAATAATTATTAGGAGAAGATTTAGAAATTGTAAAATTTTTATACTGTAAATGTTTTATAGAATTCTCACTTTTATTAAATTGGATGATGGGATAATCAATTTCTTCATCATTATTGGAAAATGTGGTTACAGCATTCTCTTCATAAATTCTATTGGATATTTGCTCAAGAGGCCTACTGGATTGTTTAAGTTTCTTTTTTAAACTATACATAAAATTTTCAAATTTAAAAGCTGAAAACTTGTCCAAGGCACCAAAATTTTGCACATCGTTATATAGATGAATGAGATTGTGTACGTTGAATGACAGGCTTTCCATTCCGTAGATGCTACCATATTTCTTAACAAAAAATAATAATAGTTCATTTGCATAATTTCCATAGGTTTTCAGTTTATTCTCGTCTACTAAGATTCTTATGGCCACTATTAAACAAAGAAAATGGCGATAAATGTTTTCAGCCAGCAAATCTTTCATAACTACCCCTCCAGTATATAGCAAAAACACCCTAAATTCAGTGGCTTTCCACCTATCAACTTCACTCAAACTTCTGGCCTTTCGGCTGAACTCTTGTAAAAATAAATTTCTAAAAGAACTAATTCGACTCTCAGCTTCTTTTAGCAAAGGCGGTTTAAGTCTTATATTACATTTTCCTTGCACCCAAAATTGAAGTTGTCTTTTAACTACTCCTAAACAAATTAAGTGCATATAATCTAGTGGTATTTGTACCACCATATCTATATTCAGTTGTTCTAAAATGCTAGTAAACCTATGATATTCAGGCTGCAGTTTATTCCTAAATGACTCATTTGTCCTTAAGGTACAATTTGTTTCCGGGTAAGTTACTCTGTTTTGAACAAAGTCACCCTCCTGAATACATTTGGTACAAGCAAAATAACCGGAATGTCCCTTGGTTCCACATATGAACGACTTTGCTGGAGTGTCGCAAATGAATGCATTAATTTGTACATTAATTCTTTTGTTATCAATAAATAAACCATTATTCAATAAAATAAGGGCTTCTTCTACAAATTTTCTCAAATAATTATTTGCATCCTGCGGTTTCGTTTTGCCATGAAATATTCCAATTGCAAAAGGTTCGGTGTTAAAATTTTCTACTAAACAACCTAATATTGGCCAAAACTGGCTTGCGGAGCTTTTTGTAAGTGGTAATCCATCAACATTTATATTTATCTTTACACTCTGAGGGTAGTTTTTAAAATATGTTTTTATAGATCTGGTTAATCCTTCCTTAAAACCAAAATGGACATAGGTTTGATTTTCACTAAGCTGTTCAAATTCTTTAGAGATATTCTTAGGAGTCTGCACTAGAGTACGTACGTCAGTTGGAAGAGCATTTTCCATGTTTTTATTTAGTATTTTTAACAAGGCGTTAATCGCGGAATGGGAAATATTATGATCTATAGTCCATTTTCTTAAATCACTTTTTAATAGTTCATTTTTATCGTAAACTTGATTAGTTTGGTTATTAGACTCAGAAAGAGTAAATCTACAAGAAGGAAAAAAATCTTGCCGAAGCTGTAAACTATTTAAGGTTTTTGGAATTAAAGGTGGAATATCGATTGGTGTGTTTTTCGAATTATTTTTGATGCTGTCGGATGAATCAAATATCATATCACCATCTAAAGGTGTTTCGATCAAATCACAGACAGGTAACGGCTCAGCTTGAGACGAAGACATATCAGAGACTCCATTACTTAAATTATATTCACATTTTTTCTTTGTAAGATTACTTAATTCCTTTTTAATTAATCGCCTCTTCTGACGATCGGAAACCCTTGAAAATTTATCCATTTTAATACTAAAAATTAAAATAAAATAATTTCAACGTCATGTTTTAAAATTCCAAGATTAAAAAATATTTTATTAATAAAATCCTTTAACAACAAACTGTTAAAATGTAGAGAACAATGTATTAGAACAATTAAAATAGTAATACCTACCAAAGAAACCAGTAAGAAATTATTGCTAATCTATCTACTATAGTAGATAGATTGTATACAAGAATAAAAGAGATATGTAGAAAAAAAGACTTCATGCCAATATACAAAGGCGAAATTTGAGGGGCCCATAGAAGGTCCCGAGAAAGGCCCCACCTATAAATTGCAAAAAATTAGGACGAACATATTCCCTCAAGCAACAGCTTTTGACAACATATTGAGTATCAAATTTGTGCTACTTGGTGTAACTTTTTTTTGTAGAATGGTTAAATTAATTCATACTATTTTTACACAACTCTTTTCAGGCTCAGCCCTTTCAAACACTAATAAAAAAGTTTGATAAATCCTTAATGATTAAGGCTTAATCTCAAGAACAAAACATATTTTTTTAACAAATTATATGCAAAGCTCCAAAAAAGGCATGTTTCCCTATAGGGAAACATGCTTTTTTTTGGAAGGATCTTTTTATATAAATTAGAATAGTTAGAAATTTGGTTCACAGGGAAATCACAGGGATATAACCTAAGATTTCCCCGTGAACCAAATTTTCCTTTGAACTATTCCAATTTATATAAAAACATATAGGTATTTTACTGTCATTTTAATCAAACTTACCTTGGATAGAATTTTTGTATTAATTATTAATTAATCTGCCTCTTGCACACAGAAAAACCTCTACTCTTGCACAAGTCACAAAAACGAAGCGAAAAGGTCTACACGCGTGATGCATATAACAAATATGGCGTGATGTCTTTCTAGCCAATAAATGATTCCTTTTTCGGCGGTTAATTTAAACGTTAGTATTTAAGTTTATTAGATAACTTCCATGTAACTTTCCTAGATCAAAGTTACAGACACATTACAGAAAGGACTTAACTACAAGTTAAATTAAAAGGATTTATTTAATAAAAAAAACTTTTATAAAATGTAACTTAAATTAGAGGTATATGTGACTTACAAATTTTAACTTTATTTTCAAACACTGATGTAACTTACATTTGTATTTCAAATTAGGGCATATAATTAAGCTACATTTTCAACGTTTTACAATCTATGAGCAACGTTACTATCAGGTTTAGGTAACAGTATTGTTTGCTGGGTATAAACACACATTTTAATAATTATTTACAAAAATTATATTTTATTGCCAAAAATACAGAATATTATATTATTATATCTTTAAAACCATCACGCAGTGAAGCAAAGGACGGAAGACAATGCACATAAGATGCGGAAAAGGACGTATGTACATAAGTATTTTAGGTAAAGGATTTTCCAACCTAAAATATATTTTAGGTTGGAAAATCCTTTACCTAAAATACTTACATTCACAACTCGATCGAGTTGTGAATATAAGTTTGGAATATAAGTAAACATTTTATTGAATTTGTCTTTTTGTGGGGGGCCTAAAATTGTGGGGGCCTGGGGCGGCTGCCATATTACCCTAAATCCGGGCCTGAGTCTACAGAAAATAATCAACTCGTTAAACAAATGTTTAGTAAAAATTCGTTTGTTTATTAACAATGTGCGATTAAACATTTCTGCACCGTTTGATTGAAACAAACCTGTATAAAAAAATTGATGAAAATATCAGAGGATGTTGAGAAATGAATGCAATAAGCAATAACCTTCTCATTACCATTATTATGTGTATATTTATTATTGTTATATTGATTTTGCCACTTATTGTTTTTTTTTAGTTTAAGGTGCATCAATTGCCAAGTATATTAGCATCAAACCTCCGAGAGGAAAATCCTCATGGTAGTGCCGGACTCCTACCGGCTAAAAACACTTACTTTATATACGTCGAGTAAAACAGAACAAAGACAAAATACTAATAAGAATAAAAAAGGGAATAATTGTGTATCACGTAAGTAAAGATAACATTTAAAAACCAATAAATAAGTACAATTTTAAATTTCTTGAAGGTTGTGGGTATACATCATTCAGGTAAGAAAGAACTTTAAATAATTGTGATTAGGAAAATAAGTTAATAATTGAAAATAAATAAAATTACAAATTATTTGTAAAACAAAATTTAGTCAGTAAGGTGTTCCACTTTTACTCATGTATAATTTTTTTAAAATAATATATAAGGTATATATGCCACCCTCTATTCTAGCCGTTACTGTCTATAGAGTGGTTATAACCACTACATACAGGTGAGCAACAACGTTTTATTATTCTATATTCTCTCAAATTTTGATTAAAAATAGTCTCGTGACAAAAGTTTCCACCTGGCCCGTCCACTGCAAGGTGGTTTGTACCCCTATAGGGGTACACAACGTTCGTTTTTACATATGCTTACTAGACTGGGCCAAAAAAATTGACTATTTTTTTTTTTGAAAAATATATCGAGAATGTCATTCAGAATGACAAAAAAAATATTTCGTGAAAATTTGAGCCCTTAATATTAATTTGCTTACATCCTACACCGAATCATTTATTGTTTTATTGCAATCTGTGTGGTTTTTTGCCTATTAATAATATAAAGGGTAAATATGAAACATGATTTTTCATTAATCACAACATCCATTTTGCTGCAGGGTAGACGTTAACTGTTAAATTAACAGTGTTAATATACCTAACATTTTAAGCTGTCTAAAAACTCCATGGAGGTTTGGTATACTCTTCTAGTAGGTATACATTATGTATGTAATACATATGTATATGTATTAAATGTATATGTAAAATTATTTTTCAATATTCATTTTCATTAAATAATTCATTATTTAAAGCCTGGGGTCCCTACCCCCGCAATTATGTCCCTTTAAGGAATAAACGATGTCTTAATAAAGGAAGTAGTTTTTCTTTGTTTTGATCTGGGAAAAACGTGCACGTGGTGGCTGATGACATTTTCATGTTATTCTTGCCTAATTGCCAATTCGATTCCATTTAAAATTTGTTGTTAGTTACGTTTCGGTTTCAACTCGCTTCATTATCCATTCAAAAACTTACATTGATGTACCTAATTATTTTTTAAAGGTATGTGAGAACGTTTTTCGTGTTGCTTGGATGAGGAGATGTTAATGAGGTTGTTGTAAGGTTTAACAGGTGCAAATGTTTTTAATTTTAATCTTGACTTGTCGGTGTTGTTTTTCCAATATAAAATATGCGACATTTAAAAAAATATATTGTTAAAACTATTGTAATTCTTTCTCAAACGGGACAATGTTGAACATGGCCTCACCGATTTTGCTCAAATTTTGTATACGGTACTAAATAGACCTCTATAATAGAGGCTCTATTTAACATGTTAAAAAAAATTAAAATATAAAAATTATAAATTTAAGAAAACAATGTAATAGTAATATTATTTAGGGGGGTAATTTTTGTTTACCCCTGCAAGGATTTATAAAAATTATAATAACAAAACTTCTACAAAAGCAACACTAAAAATTGTCTAATAATTGTAAAAAGCAATAAATGGCTCCCCAAAAAAAAAATATTTTTGCCTTATCTTAGTTTTTTTAAATGGCGGAATAAAGGCCAAAACATGAAAACTAAAAAATCAAATTTCAAAAAAGTATATCCTTTGATTATGTTCATGTTCAATACTCTTACATAGCTGTAGTATATGCTTATAAAAAAATATTAACGGAAATCAAAAAAATCAAATTTCAAAAAAGTATATCCTTTGATTACGCTAGGCAACAAATTTTAACTTAAAAAAAAGGTCCTGGTTAAAAATAGAATTTTTCGATCGTTTATGACTGTAATAGATCCAAAATGTTTTTAAAAAATTTTTCTGAAGTCGTAAATAAAAAATAGGAGCACAGTATTATGGTACCATTTATTGCATAGATACACCATTTGAAAATTACTTTTACTATTTACTTTTAACTTATATTTCAGCATTCCATGAACAACATATCTGTACATATTGTAAAAATTTAAGGCATGTTTTTTTGATGTTTACTGTTTTTTATCGTTCAAATTATTTTGTTTATTTATTTTTATCGTTATTATTAAACAATTTTTCTTTGTATCATGGTGCTGCCCGTATCGTCTAAACGAGACTTTGGAAAATTTTTTGGTCGCCGGATTTGCGTCGAGCAAGTGAAAATCTATATGACTGCTATTTTTATTACCGACCTTTTTTATTTACTAATTTTTATCGTTATTATTTAACAATTTTTCTTTGTATCATGGTGCTGCCCGTATCGTCTAAACGAGACTTTGGAAAATTTTTTGGTCGCCGGATTTGCGTCGAGCAGGTCAAAATCTATAGGACTGAGCTATTTTTATTACCGACCTTTTTTTATTGTTTACTAGTGTTATGTTCATGTTCAATACTCTTACATAGCTGTAGTATATGCTTATAAAATGCCGTAAATTTGTATAATATGCCCATATGGATTATTTCAGCTTAAAAAAAAAATAAGAAATTTTTAAAATGAATGATATATTAAATATATATTTAATATGAAATATTTGATATTTTTTAAAATTTAAGTTACTAATAAACTAAACACATACATGTGTACATGTACCAAATTTTATTTTTCTAGTTTAAATAATTCTAAAGATATACAAGTGCATATACAGTAGACTGAGCCAAAAAAATCAACTATTTTTTTTTGAAAGTATATCGAAAATATGGTTTGGGGCGACAAAAAAAAATATTGTGAAAGTTTGAGTCCATAATATTAATATTAAGATCAAAAGTTATTATGAAGTCAAAACGAAATTCTTGTCAAATTTAACCTTGAATAACTTTTGATGGAGTGAATTTAGCCAAAAATGTTAAGAGGCTTTTTTTGTAAAGCATTTGATTTTACATAAGAATATTTATCGGTTTTTTATGGGTACTGATTTTTTACATGAATTTTAAAATTCCAAAGTTAAAAGATC